CTGCATTATCATTCGAAAGTAATGAATCAAATAAACAAGAAAAAAAAAAATTAAGTAACACTAACGATGAAGACAAAAATTGTGAATTAAAACCAGGAAAAATAGATTCCCAATCAACAACTCCTAAAAAAGAACATGGAAAGTCAAAAAAAACAAAAGATAATGTGTCAAGTAATGAAATTTTTGATGAGAAAAAAATGGGGAAAATTTCAGAAGAAAGTAGTGTTATTACAAAAAAGCAGGAAAAAAATGGCTCTAATACAAGTATTGTAGTGTCGAAAAAGCAAAACTCAGCAGCCTATCAGAAATATTTACAAAGATCGGGGCCTAAAAATCCCAATTCTAAAACAATTCCAAAAGTATAAAAAATTTTAATTATGTTTCTGTTTTTTTTTTATTTAAAAAATTTTTTTCAGCTTAAATTTAACTTTTTTTTTTTTTTTTTTTTTTTTTTTTTTTTAGGGGACATCGAATTGCCTTCAAAATTTAACGTTTGTTATCACAGGAATATTGGATTCATTGGAAAAAAAAAAAGCAGTTGAATTGATACAAAAGTATGGGGGACGCGTTACTACTCAAGTGAGCAAAAAAACCGATTTTATAGTAGTTGGAGAAGAACCAGGAGAATCAAAACTGTCAAAAGCAGAAAAATTTTGTACAAAAAAAATAAATGAAGATGAGCTACTAGCTTTAATAACAGAAAGGAGTAATTTTAAGCAAGAAGAAAGTAAACCAATTGAAAAAACTGAACAAATTATTTCAAATAGTTCAATGAAATCTTCTATTAATGAAAATAAAAAAATGAACACATCAAAGTCAGTAATGGTTAAATCAAATCAATTTGATGATCTTAGTTTAACAGGAGTTACTACAAAATCTGAAGCTTCTTTAATAAAAAATGATGATTGTAAAAATAATTTTGAAAATTCAGGTATGTGAAATATTCAAATTTCATTTTTATATTTACTCGAAAAACATTTCTTAAGAGTTAAAAAAAACAAAAATCATTAACTTTACCTTATTTTAAAGAATTAAGAATTTTATTTTAATTTGAATTTTTTTTTTAAAAAGACATTCTTTGGGTTGAAAAATACAAACCTAAATCAACAAAAGCCATAATTGGCCAAGGTGGTGAAAAAAGCAATGTAAAAAAATTAACATATTGGCTGCAAAATTGGCATTTAAATCATTCTACTAAAAATGATAAAAAACTTACTAAACCTGGTATGTAATTAAATAATTTTTATTTTATTATTATTTTTTTCTTGTAAATCTAAACAGTGACTTTATTTATTTGTTGTTTTTATTTATAATAATTTTAGCACCATGGAATACAAATGATGACGGAAGTTATTTTAAAGCTGCTCTGCTTTCTGGTCCACCTGGAGTCGGCAAAACAACTTCAGCTTATCTTATTTGCCAAGAATTAGGCTTTGACATTGTAGAATTTAATGCTTCTGATACAAGATCTAAACGTCTTTTACAAGAAGAAGTGTCCGACTTATTAACTTCGAAATCTCTTCAAGGATATTTTGATGGTTTTAAATTATTATTAATATATATCAAAAATATAAGTTTCTCAATTATAAAATTTGTTAACTAAATTAAGTTATTATTCGTCTAGGAAATAGAAGCACTTTTAAGAAACAAGTTTTACTCATGGATGAAGTTGATGGAATGTCTGGAAATGAGGATAGAGGAGGAGTACAAGAACTGATACAGCTGATAAAACAGACTAAAATTCCAATAATTGGTATTTGCAATGATCGAAATCATCCGAAAATGCGATCATTGGTTAATTATTGCTTCGATATTCGATTTCAAAGACCTCCCATAAAACAAATTAAAGTGAATATTAAACTTAATAATTTGTTTTTGCGGTTTTAACATTAAAATCACAGTAATAATAATATTTTCAGGCTGCCATGTTGTCGATATGTTTTAAAGAAAAAATTAATATTTCTGGAGATTCTTTAGAAGAATTAATTGTTAGTTCTAATCATGATCTTCGGCAGGTATTACATCGTTTATCTTTGTTAACTTTTGTGGAGAAATCATTATCGGAAGAAGATGCTAGAAAAAACAGCTCTGATGGAAAAAAACCGTTAAACTTGGTATTACTCCTACAATAATTTTTGTACAATAATTTTTTTTAAAGTTACGATTTATTTGTAATTTTAAAATTATTTTATGTAGAATCCTTGGGACGTCGTGAGAAAAGTATTTTCTGCATCGGATAACGAAAAATTTAATTTAAATGAAAAAATGGATCTTTTTTTTCAAGATTACTCCCTGGGTCCTCTTTTTGTACAAGATGCTTACATTCATGTAAAACCTAAAAAAGCCAGGTATCTAATGTAATCTCATCAGTATTTATTGTAATATTTTAATGTTTTTCTTTTTTTTTTTTAAATGAAATTTTAAGAGGACTAAAAAATATTATTTTTATTGAAAGAAATTCAGAATTAGAGGTCATGTCTCTAATTTCAAAGGCAGCTGATAGTATATGTTATGGCGACGTTGTGGAAAAAACAATTAGAAGTAAAAATTCCTGGAATCTCTTGCCAGCTCAGGTAAAATAATGTTATTATTATTATTAATTTTTAAATCATTATTTTAAACTAAAATTATTTTATTACATCGTGTAGGGTTTATTTGCCAGCATTTGTCCTGGTTATTATATGGCAGGGCATTTTCAGGGAAAAATAGAATTCCCGGCGTGGATGGGAAAAAATTCTAAGGCTAGAAAATTAAGTAGGATCTTGCAAGAACTCCACACATCTCTTTGCACCAAGTAAAAAAAAAAAAAAAAAAAAAAACAAAATTTTTTGTACCCCATTTTCCGATTTATACTTAAAATGAAAAAAATTTTTTTAGGATTTTAGGTGATGTTCAAGCAATTAATCTGGATTATTTGAAGTTACTTAAAACTATTATAGTAAAGCCTTTAATCGAAGAAAATTTGAATGGTGTTCCAACCTCTGTGAAATTTATGGTAGAACACAATATTAACAAAGATGATTTTGATCATATTTTAGAGTTGTGCTCTTGGCCTGGATTTAAAGATTCTTTTTCATCAATCGATTCCAAGGCAAGAACTATTCTAACTTTGACTATTCGATATGTAAAAAAGAATCTTTAATAATTAATGTTTAATAATTATATTATTTCAGATAAAATCTGCTTTTACAAGAACTTTGAATAAAGAAAATCAGAAAGTTTCATGCGTAAAGAAAACTTCAAAAATGTCTCAAGATAATCTAGATGATGAAAACATAACAGATGATATAATTTTTGAAGAAAATGATAATATTGATTTTGATCCATTGATTAAGGTATTTAATTTACACTTACTCTTTGAATATTTAAATATTCAAACTGCTAATAATTTATTTTATAAAAATTACAAGTGAAAATTTTCTATAGTGTGTAAGTATACTAAAATTACTTTTACTCATATCATTTTCAGAAAGGAAAATCCAAAGTGAAAAAAGATATCAAGAGTCCAAAAGAGACCAAGATGGATAAAAACAAAAGATCACATGCTACCAAAGAAACTCCTGTTAATAAAGGAAGTAAACGATTAAAAAAGTAAAATCATTCATTTTTTTTTAATGAAAAATTTACATTCATATTTCTGTTAGGTCTGATCTTCTATAATATAATATTAAATGCCTCTTTTGCAGTAAATTTTAATTTTCGTTATTTTCTTTAAGATTATAAAAATATAAAAACTGACTTTGTTTAATTCAATCAGAAGGATTAGAATTTAAAAAAATAATAATAATAATACTTACCGATAAATTAATTGATATAAACTTTTTTTTTTTTAAATTTATTTTATTTGAATGTTTGATTTTTCATTTTTTTTTGACTAGATTTGTATTATTGAGCATGATAATATTTATTATTAGCATTATGTATTAACATAAGCTCATGTTTATATATATATAAATAATGAGAAAAAAAAAAAAAAAAAAAACTAAAATTTTCAAGTTGTAAAGTTTTTTTTTTTTTTTTTTCTAAATAAAATGGCTAATCAATTATTTTCGGTAAAATTTCAACCGCTTAAGAATGAGTCGAAACGTAATAACAGTCAGTTTATTCAACGTAAAACAATGTAATTTTCCACGTTTTATTTTTTATTTTTGTTATGAATTAAATTATTGTATTGTAATTATAAAATATTGTGTTGAATTGTTAAAAATTAAGTATTAGCATTTAGTTAAAAGATTTTTAATATTTAAAATAAGTTTTTTTTTCTGACTAATTTTTGAAATGAATAAAAAAAAGTAAGTATAAATCTGTGTGTTAGGAAAAAAATATTTTTTTTTAGTACAGTTAATAATTTGTAAATGAGTGATTTTTCTCATTACCTAAATTTTTTTTGTTTAATTCATTAACATTTTTATTTTTTTTTAAAAAAAAAAATCTCAAGTTGTAAAATTATTATTACAAAAAAAAAAAAGAAAAGAAAATTGTTTTTTTTTTTTTTTAAAGAATATTTAAACTTTATTTCTACCTAATAAAACGCAATTAATATTTTAACTTTTAAACACAAACAAAAAGTATTTTAATAGTTTTTTTTTTTTTTTCTTTTTTCTAATTTTGCCAAGTTTTTTTAGTTATTAAATGAACAACATAAAAGATGATTAATAATAATACTGTTGTATTTGTTTATAGTGTACGTTAAAATATTTGTATGTAATTTAAAAAATATTACATAGAATTTTTTTATTTTATTTTTTGTAAATTAATAAAAATTAAAATAAATGTAATTTTAAAAAAAAATATATATATATATATATATATATATATATATATATATATATATATATATATGAAAAACAGTTAAATAATTTTGTGATAAACGATAGATATGTTAGTGCCAAAAATTTTTTTAGAAATCTTTTCACTTAAATTATTAATTTTCAACTTTTTACTCTTAATAATCCTTGGACTCGAGAAATTGGCAAAAACTCAATGTTACGACAAGATACATTTTAAAAATATGTATTAAATTTTTTTTTAAGAGTAATAAACAGTAAAATATATTTAGAAAAATGTAAATTATTAAAATTTGGAAAAATCAAAGATATACATATATTAATTTTTATTTATTCATTTATTGTACAGTTAAGTAATACCTATAGTATGAACAAAACTTTTTAATTAACTTTGTTAAAAAAAAATTTAATAAATTCAGTTCGTTAAAAAAAAAATCTTATTAAAAAAATTTACATTGGTATTTACTCTTTCTCTCTGTTGAAAAAAAAAAAAAATTCTATTTACTTTTCATTGTAAAATGTTTTAAATATTTTAAACAAATATTATTATGTATGTACACTATAAACTAAATTAAGAAATGCATTTTCTAAACAATGTTGTTGAGTATGCTTCACAGTTTCAATTATTATTATTTTTTTTTTTTTGTTGTTTTGGGAATGTCTTTAAAAAAAAAAAAAAGTGTCAAATTGTATAAAATTTAAGTGTTTCAATTATTATAATGTAATAATGTAACTTTTTAGTAAATAGTTTAAAAGTAAAAAATGTTTGTTTTGTAGGAGGACACAGTGAAAAGTTTTCATCCATTGTATTACACATATTATTTGTATTAAAAAAAATTTTTATTTTGTCATCAAGTAATGAGTGCAAAATATTAATTTACTTTATAACACAAAAATTAAATTTTTTTTGTCTCATTTGAATATATATTGTGCACATGCATTCATTTAAAATATTGGTATATAATTAAATGTAAATGTGATTTATAAAGTGCTGATTTTGTTATGTAAATCATATTTAAAAAATTTTTTAAATTATTTTTTGTAGTATTTAAAATAGTTAATTATTAATTAATTTAAATATTATAACCAAATTTTTTGTTTTTTTTTTTTTAGGTGAAGTCCTGAATTGAATTATGGAAATATGGAATTTGACGGCTACCAAAAACGCATCCGTTCAAAATAAGACAATGCTCTATGGATTATTTTTAAATGAATCAAGATTTTGGATTCAAAGAGTTTTATTACCAATCGTCGTTATTATTGGATTTGCTGGTAATGGTAAGTGATAAACTAGTTCAGTATTAACTTTTTGATATATATATATGAATAATGTAATCTTTTTAACAAACTCTCAAGCAGTAATAAATAGTAATTAACTAATAATAAAAAAAAATTTAAATTTTTACAGCTTTAACCGTTGTCGTTTTAACTCATAGACGAATGAGAAATTCCACACACACATATTTGACTGCTCTAGCCATTTCGGATTTATTGTATTTGGTTTTTGTATTTACACTTTCATTAGAACATTATCCGGGTAGCCATACAAAAAGTTTTTATTATTATTGGAAATTTTACCGGTTTGGTCTTTGGCTGACGGACGCATCAAGTAATTTAATTTGTAAATTTTTCATGATGTTTCTCTAAAAGCTATTTAGGTAATTTTTAAATTTGTAGCCTGTGTTTCTACATGGTTAACGGTGACATTTACCGTTGAAAGATACATAGCAGTTTGCCATCCAATAAAAGGGAAAATAATTTGTACAGAAGCAAGAGCTCGAATTGCTATTGTACTTATATATATTTTTTGCTTTTTATCAACGGTAAGTAATTCTAGAGTTTGATTTCCGTTTAAAAAAATATCCTGAATACAATTTTCTTTTTTTTACAGGTAACTACTCCTTTAGAATGGCAATTAGACGTTCGAGAAATAATTGTAAATCAAAGCAAAGTAATATCCTACGTGGGACAAATGCCCTCAGAATTGGGAGTAGATATTAATTACACGACAACTTTTTACTGGTTTTGGAGTATTACTTTTGTTTTTTTACCTCTCTTATTGTTGGGAATATTCAATTCTTTTTTGATTGTTACCGTCCATAGAAGTAGGAATAACAGACGTAAAATGACCCAGGTTAAGAAATTATTAACTGGTAAAGATTAAAAACAAAAATTATATTAATGAGTTAACTATTCTATCATTGAGAATAGTTAACGGAACTAAATTAAAATTAAATTGTTATTTATTGGCAATTAAAAAATCTTTTAATTCGACTCATTAAAAACAATACTAAAAAAAAGTTATTTTTAAATTTTTGAAAATATTTATTTTCAAACAGTTGAATTTCAAAAAAAAAAAATTATTAAACTTCCTTAAAGAGTTTTTTTTTTTTTTTTAAATATTTAATTTAACATTTAAAAATTGTAATTTTTTACAGACTAAACACAATAATAATAATTCTCAACGGCAAGAAAACAAAATTACGGTTACTCTTATAGCCGTTGTTATTTTATTCCTATTTTGCCAGCTTCCCACAGCTGTGCTGTTGATTATAAAAAGTGTTCATATTCCACCTGACGATTCAAATACGGATAAAATATTTCGAATATTGGGAAATATTTTTAATTTTTTGGTTACAATAAACGCGGCTTCAAATTTTCTACTTTATTGTGCTTTCAGTGCTAATTATAGAAGAACTTTGATAGGAATTTTTTGTAAAAAGAGAAGAAGAACGTCCTTATTTTTTCAATCTACGATCATTCCAGAATCTAGTTAAGTTCTTTTTTTTTTATTTAATTTTTTGGTTTTTAAATTCTAACTAATGCTGTGAAATTTTTTTGAATTCAGGTGTATCAAAATCGATCGGTCAAAAACAAGCATTTTTTAATGCGCAAGCTTCCACAAAGAGTGCTTCATTTAAGGATTTTAATAGTGGCTTTAAAAGTCGACCATCAATTTCTAAAGTTAGAGAAACGCTGTAAATAATATTTTAAAAGACTGATAAAATGTAATGAATCAATAGGAATATTAACTCTATTTAATTAAATGACTTGAAATATATCAACATTATTTTTTTAATGTGGCTAAGTTTAATTGTAGGGTTCGGAAAATTACTTCATGTAAAATAAGTACTCTATTTAAAGATAAAAAGACGCCAGTGTCACTAACACTAGGTTTAATGGCTTACTAGCCTAGTTTTATATAATTTTAAAGATAACCTTTGGTTTTTTATAAAGAATTTGTGGGACCTAGACGAAGGCCTATAATAATTTGATTTGATTTTTCTATAAAATTTAAAAAAAAAACTAACATTTACATTTGAAGCCTAAACGGCTCATAGTTGATTTGATTTTGGTAAAAAAAAAATGATCTGAGGGTGAAAATTAATTTCTGATTAATGATATGTCGCGTAAATCTGTCGTTTACGTAAATGCTTTAAAACTTATTATCATTTCTTGACAATTTTTAGTGTGAGATTGAAATAAAGAGGATTGAACATAAAGGCAGTCTTAAACAAAAATTAATACCGGCATTTTAAAAAAAAACCGCGAAAATTTTGAAAATCGTTTTGAGTTTTTTATTTAAAATTTATTAGTATTTATTTTATTTATTAATATCGCTGTCGTCAAAATAAAATTATTATTCTGACTAATTATGCATGAATGGATTGTTACGACTCAGATTTTCATAAAAATTGTAATTTTTCCAAGATTTGACAATCTACGATTGTTCTGTATTTTTATGACAAAATATTTTTCATAGAATAAAATTTTTATAATTCCACTGCATTTAAACATCTCTAAATTTTACTGCCACGACAATATGTATTTTATTAGAAAAAATGTCAGACAAATGTAGTGAAGTAAGTGATATTGATTTTAATAGTGAATTAGAATCAATAGAAACTGTTTCATCGTTGTCTTTATCTCCATCTCGAAATCAAGATTCTTCTGTATCAAATACTTCTAACTTTAAATATGCTACATCACTGAATATAACTCGAAATTTATTTCAGAGAGAGGTAAATAAAGTTTATTTTTTTAATGCAGTACTTTGATGCTAATTTATGATTTCCCCGGAAAATTTGAATTTGGGGATAAAATATATACTATTTAATTTTGAATATAAATATTTTTTTTTCGGAATTCATTCATTTGTTTTTGAATAAATAACAATATTTTAAAAAATAATATTTATGAATGCAAAGGAATAATCAGTAATTATAAATGTAATTTACAGTTAGGATTTGGTTGCTTAAAACCAATTAAGCATGCATTTTTGAAGTCTTATCATTTATCAAATATTTTCTCTGGCCAAGTTCTCCTTACTCATGTATTTTTGGGAATGACAAAATGTGGCAGATTTCTTATTACCTATACAATGATAACTGATCAAGATGATGATGAATGGTATGCTACTGTTTATAAATATAGACTTCATTGGTGGAATTTTAAACCAGGGGGCCAGGCAAGAAAAATTGCCGAAGTCTCTTTATTCGGAAGCCATAAAATTGTCGCACCCTTACAAATGTATGTTTGTCAGTGGCCTCAAGACAATGAAAAAATTTTAGTGTATGGATTAATGTGAGTTATTGTGTAAAAAATACATTTATTTTATTTTATTTTATATATATATATAGATATATATTGGTATTAAATTATAAAATTTATACTGATTTAGAAAAGAATGCAGTAGCATTGATGCGGTAGGTTCATCTAACAATCAACATGCTTTTGTAACAGTTACTGCTTTGCCATCATTAAATAATTGCCAAGAATGTAGGATTGTGGCTTCATCATACATGTTAGATGGTATGTAAAATGTAAATTAATAAAAAAATTTCATACAATTGAAAATTTTTATTCTTGTATTATTTGAATCCAAGAATTGTTTAACTGCTATATTTTAATATGTTTAAAATAAATTTTTCAGATATTGCTGCAAGTTGGGACACATGCTTAAGATTTAGTTGCCTCAAGCATGGTTACACTGTTCATACATCATTTGATGTTGTTGTACCATACCCTGAATTTTCTCCAAAAATTAGTTTAAAGTGTAATAATTATGCCGTTTTTAATGCAAATAATTTTTTGTATGCTTTGAAAATCACACTAGAAAATAATGACAAAAAAATTAAAAATGAACAAATGGAAGATATTTCTTGTCTAGTATCAGACTCAAGCTCAGAAGTCAATAAAAATTCAGAAGAAATTATTCCATCGAGTTCAATTAATCAGAAAAATTTTAATTTAAATAGTAATAATAATAATACAAGTAATAATAATAATGACAATGCATTAAAATTAAAAGAACAAATTATCAAAGACTTTAGTGAAGATATTAATTTAAATGCTTCATGTTTACAAAAAAAGGGTTTTGAAAATTTAACCAAAGACCCTTTTATTAAGGAATTTGAAATCAAGACTTGTGACTCATCATATCAAATTTATAATTTATTCGAATTAAATGTTGAAGAAGAAAAAGCCGTTCACGAATTTTTAACATCTCCACCGCTTCCCACTAGAGTGAATCCATTTCGAAGTAAGTACATAAATTCTGATTTGAAAGAACAGATGCAGAGAAATTCTCCTTCGGGAGAATGTAATAACATTTTAGAAGTTAAAAATGAACACCTAGAAGAAAATACTAATTGCAAAAAGAATTTTAAATTAAAAGAAAAGAGTGATAAGGAATGTTTCTTCTACCCTAAGTCTACAAATTGTACAAAAAAAAATCGAAGTGAACAAATAAATCGCAACAATAATGTTTACAAAACGGACGATAAAAATTATTCAAACAAATATTATAAGTCTTTTTTCACCCGACGAAAGGGTCAAAAAAGTAATTTAAATTTCGAAATGTTTATTAGAAGTATGTCACTTTCTAAACCTCATTTAAAACAACCCGTGACTGTTTGCGATAATGAAATTCATGTTGTTTTAGAAACAAGCAGACACATATCGAGGAAATCAAATGAAATAGTCGATAGTCCTTACGAATTTGTGGATGACTCTCAGTATGAAGTTGAAAAACTCAGTCAATTTCGTAAAAAACGTCTAGCGGATAAAAAATACGAATTTCAAGATTTTGACTCGGAAAACATTATTCCTTTTAGCATAGTTAGGCAAGAAAGCACACTTAGATCCCCGAGAAAGTATCAGGACAATGAAAACGATTTAAGTGAAAAACTGAAACATAATGTAGAACTTAGAATCGGTAATGAAACCATGAATTCGAATATGAACGAATTGATTATACATAATCCAGGTTCGAAATATCCATTGGAATTACCTACGTCTGCTTCCAGTCTTAAGTCTCCTTTAATATTAGAAGTACTTACAAATTCAGGGCAACACGAAAGTGTTTTAAGGCCATTCAATAGAAACATTAACGGGAGTTCTTTGCTTTCTCCCGTAACAAAAATTTTATTTTCTCCAACGGCTCACTCACAGAAATCAGTGTCAAAATCAGCGTCCAAAGACGTTTGGAAAACCAAATATTTTGAAGAATTAAAATTAATTATAAACACGTTAGGGACTCATAAAATTTCCCAATGTTTAGACACGCGATTAATTTTGGAAAACGGAATTTTAATAAATGACATTTCAGAATGGTATTTTAAAGAAGAAATTAATTATAAAGAAGTTGACATTTATAAAAATCTTTTAAAAAATTTAAACAAATTTTATGGTGAAGCAATCAGATTTAAAAGACGTTTTGTCGAGGTTGACGATGAACTTGTATCTGTGATAACTGATATCGAAGATGATGACATGAGCACACTGACTGGATATCACACAGCTCTAAATGTGGAAGTTCACGGAGCTGGATATTCTCAACTTCAAATGATTTCCAATTCTAAGGCTGAAAAATTATCAGCATCCTGCGTTGTCGTTGATCAACAGAGTTTGGATATTGAAGGAATCTGTCATTCTGTTGCCACTACTCTTTGCCAAGTTTCAGATAAACCTTTACTTTTTGTAATGATTATGATATAGAAATTTTGGATGTAAGTCCTTTTAAAACATCTACTCCGTACGGTTATTAAATAAGTAAATTAATATTATTATTAAGCTTTTATTTTAATTTTAGGTTTGCCCCCGATCGGGTGACGTTCTTGTATTATTAATGATGAGAATTGAAGGAGCAGAAGGAATAAGAGATGAAGTATCAAAATTAGAACAATATGAAGCATCGGCAACTTTAGTTTGGAATCTTCATCACGGAGATTATAAAGTTTGCATGGTAGGACAAAATTCTAAAGCCTTGAAACACCGTCGAAAAATTGTTAAATTTTTTTTTTTTTTTTGTTTTTGTTAGTTGTACCACCGCAAAAAGTAAACTGGGCCTGGGATTCAAAGGATGTTTGGAATCCTGCCAAAGAAGCATCGAGAAGATTTCGAATGCAATTGCCTGCTGATGTGACATTTTGTGATCCTGCCGTAAGAGTGTGTGGTAACATTTCCACTTTGAAAGGTAAAAATTTCTCTTTATAATTTTTTTTTTTTCTCCCCCATTTTTTGTGATTTTTATTATATGAAAATTTTTTAAAATTTCTCTTAAGGCATTTCATTAGCTAGGATAGAAGATCTGGAAAATGGAATTCAGTTTGTACTATAGATCATAATTTTTTAAAAAAATTAAATATACTTTATTTCTGCATTAATATTTATTGTAATTTTTTTTTTTTTTTTGAAAATATCTAACTTTCAATAAATACAATTAAAGAGTTTGTAGCTAAAATGGTATTTTATAATAAAAATAACTTTTTAGAAATTGATGAAATTTACATTGTTGAGCCAAATGGAAATCTACAAAGAGTCATTGGTTATTGTCATTGTCTAAAGAAGTGCATTAAAAGAGCCAAATATATAGCCGGTAATATATTTAAAAAAGGAAAAATAATTAAAATATTATGGCCAGCTTTTTGAGGAAAGTAAATTGCGCCTAAAGATTCAGTAAGGCTTATACGTAAAAAAAAAAAACCTCCTTAATCAATTTCAGAGCGTTTGAATTAAGTTGGCAGAACTGTTTAACAGTCACAACAATGTAAAAGCTTGTTAACGTCCGTTCTCCGTAATTTCAAAAAAAAGGTACTATTTAATACTTGAAAATTAAAATTAAAATTGATTGAAATATTTTAAAAAATTTTTTTTAAGGAATGGTAATTAGTATTCGTAGAAATGTAATCGAAACTTAAATTCAATTGAGAAAAAAAAAAAACTTTTTTTTTGACAAACTGTTACTAAGAAACTTTATAAAAAAAATAGTGTTTCATTATTCATGACTAAATTTTTAAAATCATTTCGTTGAATGTGTTGCATTTACTGAAGAAGGACAAAATTTGAAAAAATTTATTGTATTTTTTTTTTATTTTAAACGAATGACTAATTTTTTTTAATCAAAAAAATAGAAATACAGTCGCCGAAAACAGTTTTTTTATGAAATGTGAGTTATGAGTGTATTATCTGACAGTACTGATGTATTACTTGTTATACCTCCAAATTTTTTCACCGTGTCATCCGATTCTGAAGACTCAATAGTTTTTGACAGTGATTCAAAGCAATTATTAGTCAGTGATTTAATATCACAAGTCAATGATTTAGAAGGAAGGATTTGCTGTATTGAAAATCATTCCATATTTAGTAATAACAGCATGCCTTTAAGCAAAAAATCTAAACCTGCTAAATGTTTTGGAAGTTTAGAAGCTCTTGACAATCACCAAAGTTGTTATTACAATTATCGAAGCTTACAATCAACTCCTGTTAAGGCTAGCACACTTCCCTTGCCATGTAAAAATTGGCAGTTAGAAATGAATTTATCAGAAAATTCATCAAATACAAAAAGTGAACAAAGTCGCAATTTATTAAAATCAACTGAATATTTATATCAGAAAGAAAGGGATGATCAGTTATTGAGTGAAATCAATAATTTTTTTACAAAAAAGGAAAAAACTTGTGTCGATATTAATAACCATGAAAAAATTGATGGAACACAAATTTCAGAGGCTACCTTGAATGAAAACTCATCTTTATCCAGTGCTGTTTTCAATTTAAACAAAGTAAATGATTTACTAAAAAAATTGGAAGACACTCAAAATCAAATTGAACAAAAACTAAAATTAAAAAATCAAAAAAGTCATGAAAATGAATTACTTGAAATTCAGGGTAAGAAACCATCTAGCAGTAATAGTAAAGCTCCCAATGTTCTTGGTGATGAAAGCCACGACGAAGAGAATTTTTTTAAAAATTCACTTAATAATGATTGTACAAAAGATTCTAGTGATGTAGTCAATTCAAAACTAGTTGAAAGGAATATCAATGAATGTAATAAATATTCTGAAATCTCCATTTCTATCCCTACAAAAGATGATAATAATTTTAAGACTTTGGAAGAAAATTCTGTTGAAAATACATCGAATGGCATGAAAAATTTATTAAGTTTAGGTGAATTGTGGGAAAATGCTAGGAATATTGGCAATACAAAAAATTCTGAAGATTTAAGTATTTATAAACAAAAGTATTTAGAAGAAGAGTACAGAAGACAACATTGTGAAAAAGTAATTCAAAGTTTACAGCTTAAATTGCTGGAAGAACAGCAAAAAGTCGCTGTAGCAGTCAAAGTTGATAAAGAAAAAGATGAAACAATTATTAAACTATCAGAAGGTTGGAATAAGCTTTTAAATCATTGGCAAGAATTAGAAATTGAAAAGAATAATCTTGAAAAAAAATTACAACAGGAAAGGGAAAAATTTGAAAGTGAAGTTTCAGCCGCTTGTCAAACAGTGAAAAGATATGAATTAGAATTATCAAAAGCTTTGGACCTGGCTCATGATTACAAAGAAAAATGTGAAATTTCTGAAAATGATAAAAAAAAATTAAACTCTTGTACTCTCAAGGAAATAAATGTTTTAAAAAATGAATTGAAAGAGATTAAAAATAAACTTCAAAATGAAGAAAGAAAAAATGAAAAACTAGAAGCAATGATTTTATCTAAAGAAAGTAATTTAAAAAATGCCAATGCCAAAATTATTGAAAGTCAAAATCAAATAAGAGATTTAAAAAAATGTATTAAAGAAAAACAAGGAGAATTAGAGACAAATAATTTAGAAAAATTAAAAATGTCTGAAAAATTAAAAGAAGAAAAAAATAAAATTTCAGCTTTGGAACAATCTAAAAAAGTTTTGCTACAAAGCAATGAAGACCTTAAAAAAAAGGAAAAATCTCTTAAAGATAACATTAAAACAACAAACGAACAAATGGAAAAAATAAAATTACAACTTAAAGAATATTACCAAGAGCAAGTTGAAAAAATAGTACAAGAAAAGCTTAATGAATTTCAAGAACAATTGTCCGCAGCAGAAAAAACTCTTCAAAAAGAAATCGAAGAAAGAGAAAAGGCTATATCGGAAATGGCTTTCCAACAAGTTCAACAATTGATAGAAAAACATTCTGTGGAAATAAGAATTTTGGAGGAAAAACATAAAAAAGAAATTGAATTATGGAACATAAAAGTATATCGCGTCGAAGAGAAAAATAACGAATTAGAAAAAAAATTAAACGCATTTTCAACTAGAAAATCAGAAATGGCACAAAAACTTCAGAGCGTTATGGAAACTCAATGGCAAGAAGCATTAAAAATAATTTCATCGACGAGTCCCTTACATCAAAAGGTAAAATAATAATAATTTATTAATAATAAATATTGGAAAAAGTTTTTTTTTTTTTTTTTTGTAGTTTTAAATATTTTTTCAGAGTGCGGAGGAAAATTATAATAAACCAATTGCAAATAAGGAAATAGTTCGTCAAAACACTTTTACAGTGACCGATTGTAACGTTGAAAACAATGGAACGAATAAAAATTGCAATTTAGTTGAAAATTCAAGTAATTCTCTATCACCCGTACCTGAATCTCCATTTTGTCAAGATGGTCAAATTACTTATAGAAATCAAACGACAGTCGACAATGATTCCAAAACTAATAAAAAAGTTTCAAAAGATGCCGAATCTGTAAAAAGTGATCCGTTGAAAAAATATATTCAAATGGTAAGATAAAAAATTGTTTAAATTTAATATATATATATATATATATGTTGCATATTTATACGATAAATATTAATATTAAATGAAAATAAATTTATTTCAGTTGCTTGAACGTCCTCCAGGTATTCCAATCGACAGCGAATTACTAATGGATAATTCTAATTATTATAATATACCTAATTTTCGTGATACAGACAATTTAGTACAATGGCAACACGTTTTGGTAAGTAATTTTTGTTTTCATTTCCTTCTTTATTATAATTTTAAATTAAATTTTAAACGTAACGTGTTATTTCAGTCTGATCATCCACATCAAAGAGTTAATTAAATTCAATGGAAAATGTTTGTTAAATGAAAGAAAAGGGTTCGTATTTTGAAATTTCCATGACTTGTTCCTTACTTTTAATTAAGGTTTATAGGATAACGGTAAAGTTTTCATTAAAAAAGAAATCTATTTTAAAAATGTGTGCATATAATTATAATGATAAAAAAACTTTAAGTTTTTTCATATTATTTTAGTGTTATTGAATTTGTATTCAAAAAAAAAGGAAAATATTTATTTCATTATTTTTTTAATGTTTCCGCATTAAGTATTAATGTGACATTTCACGATTGTGGTAGTAGTAATAAAAATCTTGTAAAAAATATTTTTTGTTTTTTTTTTTGATTATTATGTAATATTAGTTTTTAATTTAATATGTAAAATAGTTTTACTACATTTATAATAATTGTTACCATGACAACGTTATGCCAAAACTAGCTGGCATTTTTTTACATTAATCGGTGAAAATTTTTTTTTGTTTTTTTAATTCACGAAATACAAAAAAAAAAAAAAAAAAAAAAAATGAGGTACATACGTATCGATGGTCAATATATTCCAAAACACTGCATATATGGACCTCGTCCATTGGAGGGTGTTGTTTTAAATGGTTTCGAATGGTGTAGGATGAACGATTATTTTTATAAAGAACAAAGGGAAAAAGAATATGCATCCACAATAAGGGAAAAAGAAAATTTAAAAAAAGAAGCTTCTTTGCAAATGACAAGAAACTGGAACAATACATTATCGGTTTGATGAAAAAAATATTTAATTGGTTTTATTATTATTATTTTTGAATTTGACATGATAAAAAAATTTGATTTTCTTAGAGTATAAAAACATTAACTGAACAAAGAAGAATTGAAAAACATGAAAGAGAAAAACAAAAGAAAATCGATGAATACAACGAAATAATAAAAAATAAAGAAGAAGAAGAAAGCAAAATTTTATTAGATGTTAAAAAAATATATTATGAAGACAGAGATGCATCGAAAACCATAAAATCAGGGATATTATATTCTTTAGTACGTTGAAAAACTAAAAATATCCAAAAAATAATAATTTTATTTTGAATTTATAATTAATTGTTAAAGAAACCTTTTTCCTAACGCAGGTTTTAAAAGAACGAGAAAAGCAATTACAATTGAAAAATGAGTTGAAATTAGAAAAACAGAAAAAAGATATGGAATGGGCAAAAAAATTTCAAGAGGAAGCAGAAGAATTTCAAAAAATAAAATTAGAAGAAAAATTACAGGAAAAAATGAAAAAGAAATTATATAAAGAAATGTTGGATGAACAGTTGAGTCCAATAAAATTCAATTAGTAGTTTCTCTCATTTTATATTTAAAAAAAAAAAAAATATGTTTAAATTAATTTATTAATATTAATATTAATTGAAATATTTTTCTGTTTATATGTTAGGATGGAAGAAAAAAAACTTCGAAAAAAAGAAGAAGAAATTGAATTTGAAAGACAAAAACAAGATTTGATAAATATGAGAATTGAAATGGAAAAAATTCGGGAGTGTAATATAATTGAGAAAAAGTCGAAGAAAGATTTTATGGCGAGTTATATAAGGAAACCTGAAAGTCAGTTGGAATACGAGAGAAATTTAATTTTAGAACAAGAAGAGGAAGATGAAATAAATAAGATTTATATGAATTACGCTCAACGATTTCAAAAAGAGAGAAAAGAAAAAGAGAAATTTATATTGAAAAATAAAATTGCGAAACGTGAAAAAACTTCATCGGATTTGGCCATTAAATTACAAGAACTTTGGGAAAAAAATAAAAAAATTCACGGCGTATGTGAAGTAGAAACGTTTTTTTTCGGTGAAGAAAAAGAACGTCCGAAAAAATCTTGTGAAATTTACGAACAAATGAAAAAAGATGAAGAAAATTTAAAAAGGAAACGACTTGAAGCCAAAGAAGCCATCAAATGGGAAGCCATTCAAGTGTGCAGAAGAAATGAAATGAATAAAAAATGGAAGGAAGATTTCGAGAAAAAAATAAGAGAAAAACAAAGAGCGGTTAGAGCTGATTTGGATCAACAGTGTAGAGAAAAAGAAGAAATGAGAAAAGCTGAATATTTGAAAGAAATGTCAGAAATGATTGAAAATAATAATAGGCTCATCGAAGATGAGCTTGAATATTGCGAAGAAGGTTTGAGATTTGTCAAGGAACAAAATTTGCCACCTTATCCTGTTTTATGGGCCGTTGCGGTAAATATTATCACTATTTTTAATATTAAATTTATATTGATTATATTAATTTTTTTTTTAATAATTTTATTAGGATGTCAAGAAAAAAAATGGAACGTGGAAGGACAATAACGAAACTCAGAAAAAAGACGAAGAAGAAAAAAAAGAAGTTGATAGAAGAACTTTGCAAATTCTTAGAGATAATGGATGTTACTGTTTTAAATACTGACCATTCTGATTTCAAATCAATATTTATTGGTGCGAAGGGACCACAGTGGAAAGAAAAAAACAAGAAATTTTTTTATTTAATATAAATAATAAATTTTATTAATTTTTAATTTTTTTTAAGTAATTTACAAAATTTTATTAATTTTTTTTTTTTAATTATATATATTTTATACTTGTAAAAGTTTTAAATTAAAAGTATTTTAATAATATTTATGTAAATAAGTTATGAATTATTAATTGTAATGTGAGTGCGATATTTAAAATGTAATCATTAAATTTAACGTTTGAATTTTTTTTTTTTTTTAACATAAAACAAAAAATGATTGTGTAAATTTATTTTAAATTTCCTTTGTAAATAAATGTCTTGGTGTCCATATTTTCAATTCCTATTAAATTATTATAATTTTAAATTCCCTGGAATTATTTTTCCAACGAAAATTCCATTTTTTCCCGCTTTCCACCATAAATAATAAGAAAAACAAATCAAATTAAAAAAAAAAAAAAAATCATTAAAAATCTACTAACGAGCACCACGTAATTCATTACGTATATCATCGTATATCATCGTATATCATCGATTCATCGTATATCATTAAATTTTCAATAGAATAAATGAAAGAAAAAGTTACGACGATCCTAGTCCTCTTGAAATTTCTCATTGCCTGATACATCAAAGTCGAAAATCACTGTTTTTTCGTGTATCGTTTTTAAAATTTTAGGAATCTTATTCTAAGTTGACTTAGGATATTTTTAATGGGAAATTTAAAAATTTATTTATTTATTTATTTTTAGATATATTCATTGTTTCTATGGCGAAATCGATTATTATTATTATTATTATTATCATTATCGAACAAACAAAAAAAGAAAGTCAAATGTAAATTGATGGGAAAAAAATGAAATATTTTTTTAGAAGTGATTATTACGTTCCAAAACCTTGTTTTTGGGGGCCTCGCTTAAATGAGGGAGTTATTTTAGAAGAAAAAGAATGGAATGATTTATGAAAACGTTCCGAAAATATATTTATTAATAATAATGATAATAATAATAAAAAAAAATACGTGAGTTCAATAAGGAACCGTAGAAAAAATCATAGGAATATATCGGAAAAGGTAAGCGAATAAGATTATTTTAATTATTATTATTATTATTATTATTATTAATTTTTTATTTTTATTTATTTTATAGGAAACGACTAAAATAAAAAGGGAAAAAACAATGGATGAAAAGTTAAATGAAAATTCTAATAATAAATACAACATATTTGATAATTATGGTCATTTACTTCGTGATAATACAATATTCAATAGAAATTTATTATCAGCTGCTGGTTTGGAAGAGGTAATAAATAAATAAATTATTATTATTATTATTATTAATTATTTATCCAAATAATTATTAATTAATTAAAATTTTTTAGATATTAAAAGAAATAAAGATGCAAAGAGAATTTAACGAATGGCAAAAAAAAGAAAAAGAAATTATTGAAAGAGAAAAAATGAAAATTATAGAAAATGAAATTGAAAATTTAACAATAAATAAAAATGAAAATAAAAAGAAAAAATTGAAAAATGATTTATGGAATCAAATAATTGAAATGAATGAAAGAAAACAGAATGAAAATGAAATAAAAAAAATTGAAAAATTATTAATTGATAAAAAAAATAAAATTTTACAAAATATTATTGAAAAAGAAATTCAAGATAAAATTAATAAGAAAAAAAAAATTCAAAATGAAATTAATAATTATTTATATTTAAATGATAAAATAAAAAATGATTTTAATAAATTATGTATTGAAAATGAAAAAAAAAATCAAGTTTATAAAAACGTTTATGAAAATTTAAAAAAAAAAATTATCAAACATAAATATAAACATTAATTATTTATTACTTTTAATTATCGATTTTCTTTTATTTATTTATTTATTTATTTTTTTTTTTATTGCAGACTTTTTTTATTGACGGAAAAATATAAACAACAACAACATAAAAAGAAAAATTAATAAATAATAATAATGATTATATGAAAAATGTTATTAAATGATATGCAAAATATTTATTTATTGTATCATTTTTCTTTATTTTATTATTATTATTATTATTATTATTTAATTCAACAATTTTTTAATGTTATTTTTTTATATAAAGTTAAAAAAAATGATATTTTATTTAAAATAATAATAATAATAATAAATTTAACAAAAAAATAAAAAGAAAATGAAGAAAAATGTAATATTATGGTAAGTGTTAAAATTAAATTTTTTTTTTTTTTTTTTTGATAACGTTGTGCAGCTAAAAACCAGTGATATATAGAATTTTATTAACAATTTTTATGTATTTATTTATTTTTCTATTGAATATTTTATTTTTGTTCAGCCTTCTTTACTTTTTTCCCTTTTTCTCTCACACAAACTTTAATTTTACTCTTTAATATATCAAACATGGCCTCTTATATTTTCCAAACTATTGTAAATTTGTTTTAAAATTCATTAGGAAGAAGAAGAAGAAATGACTGAAATATATTTAGAATAAATAATAATAATAATAATTTCTTTTTTGTATAAATATATTGTTTGATATGTCATTCTTATGATTTGCCAAATTATTATTATTATTATCATTTTGATTGTTAATTAATTATTTTTCAACGTACTCGATCCTAATTATAATTATTAGAAAAACCTGAACCTTAATATACCAATTTTTAGGTATATATTATAAAAAAAAAATATTACTTGAATATCATTCTATTTGTTTTCATTATAAAAAAGTTATATAAAACATAATAATAATAATAATAATAATAATAATTAAAATATTATTTAAAGTTAATGATACCTAATAAATATATTATTAATTATTTAATAAAAAGAAGCATTTGATGATATATCGGACGTATTAATTACAAATAACTTAAAATAATTATAAAAATATTTTTTTCTTTTATCAAATAATTTTTTTTTTTTTTCTCGAAATTTATATAAATATTTTATTTTACTTTTTTTTTATTTAAAAAAATTTTTTAATAACATGATGATAATAAATAAATAACTATAAATAACGGGGATAAAATAATAATAAATAATTAACCTACTATGATAATTTTTATGATATTCAATTAATATTTTTTTTTTTTTCATATCAAATTTATTATTATTATTATTGTTCTTTTTTTTTACCGGGAGCGAAGTTAATAAATATTATTATTATTATTATTATTATTATTATTATTATGTTCTTATGCTCTCGATTACGTTCTAAAAAATTTTTTTTTTTTTTTTTAGGTTATCACTGATGATGATAATTTCACTGAAGCTGCATCGTTACCCAAACTACTGCACGAGCGTGTACGACTCCTCCGATTTCGCAATTAACCGTCCGAGTTCCTCCATTGATCACAAATAAGGCCTCGCTGGCTGGAGTCACCATAAAATGTCCAAAAACTCCGGAAGCCACAATAAGTCTATTTGGAAAATCCCATTCTGCTAAATTATAATTCATTGCTTTTCCGACTCCAGTTATCATTTCGACTTTACCTTTAAAAAAAAAAAAAAAACACGTTTTATGTACGGAGGGGAGAGGGGAGGGGTGGAAAATAAGGGAAAATTTCTCACCTGTGACTAAATTAAGAAATAAAATATCTTCTTTGTCTGTTGCACTGGCGTATAAATCGTAGCCGTGAGTTGTTTGCGACGGATAAAATGTAATCGCACTTACATTTAATGTTGTTTTCACGTCAAAAAGAAATTTAAGGCCAGTAGCTGAAAATTATTATTATTATTATTACATTAGTTTATTTATTTAAATAATCGTAATAATTTAAATTTTTTTTTTTTTCAGGTTTTTCCCGTTAAAACATTTAATGGTTACTTATTATTTGCTGAACTACGAGAGTAACCCCATCTTTTTCTCTGTCTAGTGTTACTGTGATTCGACTGTCTGGTGACACGTGAGGTTTTCCAAACAATCCTGTTTTTTGACTTATTATACTATCGGTTAAATAATCCAATAAAATTTGTCCGGAAGGATGTCCGGTTGACAATTCTTCGCATTCTATAATTACGTAGCCGTCTAAAAAGGTTAAAAAAGCAAATTTTTATTATCTTTCAAAACTGGAAAAGTTAAAATTTTGTATAAAAAAAGGACACTTACAAAGGGCCGAGAACTGGACGTGTCTTGGAACGCAATTATTCGCTGACAAGTCTACATTTTTAACATAACGCATGTTGGCCAAATCAAGTTTGTATAAACCTTTTTGATTTGAATGAGTGACGTAACCGTATTTAAAATTATGATTCAGATCCTGGTAACATATATATATTTACTTATATAAAGCATCGTTTTTGTAACAAAAAAAAAAAAAAAAATGTTTTTGTACCTGAATGTCTGGAATGAAAAGTCCTCGAACTAAATCAAACTGTCCGTCTATCGGCTCCGGATGAACCGTATGATGTTTTTTCTTTTGGGAAGCATCTCGTATGACTTGAATGGTTTTAATACCGATATTTTTTTCACTTCTCCAGTTTAGTAACCAAACTTGATCTAAATGAGCAACGTAAAATAGTTCTACTGGATATTTATCCGTTATTACGACCTAAAATGAGAAAAAGGGTTTTAAAAATCGGGTGTAAATTTAATTGTGACAAATAAATAAAAAATGAATGTGCATAAAATCAACTTACATCGACCACAACCATTTGAATTTTACTTATAATTAATATACGATCTTTATTCGGTTGCGCCACATAAATGTATCGGTTAGCAATATTCAAAGCGTAACCCCAGCTGCATTTAATATTCTTTTTACCGCAAACGTATTCTTGAGTGCCTGGAATAATGTCGGTGGATAATATTTGATGATAGAGCCTGCAAGCTTTTGGTTCGTGGACCGATATGCCCCAATCGTGAAATGAAAAAAATCTTTTTTCTTCATTTGGAGCACCTGAAAAGAATTAAAATTTTATTATTTGAGGTTATAAAATAGTTTTTTTCAAAATCAATCATTTTAATTTAACCTTGAGTGAGTTCATCTTGCACAATCAACGATGATATGTCTCTGGTAACTCCTCCAATGTTGGTCGCCTGACACATGTATGCTCCAGTATCCGCATATCCGATGTCGTTGATTTTTAATTCTGTTCCGTTGCCTAAAACTTCATATTTCAACGGTATTTCCGATTTCAATTGTTCGTCATTTTTCAACCACTCGACACTCGGAAAAGGTTCACCAACAACATGACAGAACATGGAGGATATTTCTCCAGGTTGTTTCGATTGAATTTTCGGTGTTACTTTTACTTCGGGAACAGCTGAAAAAAATTATTCAAAAATTATTTATTTTGCTTTTTTAAGAACAGTAAAATTAGTAAGTTTTTTAAGCAAAAAAAAAAAAAAAAGGAAATTTAAATTATGTTATGTGGTACTCAATGAGTATACACACACACACACACATGCCCTAGCATTTTTTTATTCATAATATTTACATATTTAAATTATTTATACATTTAGGGCATTAATATTTATAATGAATGTATGTGTTCAAAAATAAAACATATTTTACAAGATTTGTACGGGGCTTATTTATAAAATACCCATAAAAAAAGAAAAAAGAAAACATGAATGATTATAAATCAATTATTACCTTTAATAATTTAAAAACTCATGCATAACTAGATAAAAAAAAAAAAAAAACTTTTGCTCGTAAACAAGCAATAAAATAAAGAAAATTTAAAGTTTAATTTAAATTCTGCAACCCATTTAGAGAAATAATTAATGTAAAACAAGTTTACTAACAGTCTACGTAGATATTTATTCCCTTTTTAAAAATCTTTTTTGTTTTTACTACGTGCAGGAGTAATAATATTTAAGTAATTAATTTTTTAAAATTTCAACAATAAATATTAAAAAAAATTATTTCTAAAACTTACTATGAACGCTTAATACATGAGTTTGCATAACATCTTTGTTTCTTTGAGCGTGACAGGTATAATTTCCAGCATGTATAAGTTGTATTTTTGTAAGGTACAATGATCCGTCACTGAAAACCTTAACTTCTTCTTCGTTTAAAACAGACAAATCAGCTGTATTTCTCTGCCATACAATCGGTGGTGGAGGAGAACCTGTAACGTCACATTTTATTTCTACGTTATCACCTACTCTTGCGGTGACGTGATTCGTTTCTAATGATTTGTCCAAAGAGATGACGGACACACCTAAAAACAAATAAAATGAAAAAAAAAAAAAAAAAAATTTGTTCGATAAAAAAAATACAAATTGGTAATTTAATAGCGGTCGATAATAAATTTCACGCTCACTGTATAATTTACTGAATGCAAAATAAAATTCATTTATGTCCAAACGACCATTTTTATCGGTATCATCATATCCTAGCATATTTTCTAAACTGCATCCATTTGACGACAAATGCAAGTTTTCTTTTTTACTAATCTAAAAAAATTAAAATTAATTTATTTTAATTGAAATTGAATTTAAAATAGAAAACGTCAAAAAAAAAAAAAATTGTTTTTTTTTGTAAATTCTAACTTGTTCCAATTCTTCTCTTTCTAAGGCCCCATCGTTATTTTGATCATAGTGACTGAACATTATACTCATCAAATATTCTTTTCCAGAACTTTTCTTGTCTTTTGCCAACAATTGAGCGTGATTATACGCCAGAAGATTATCCTAAAAACAAAAAAATTTTGTTTATTTACTTATAATAAAAATATTGAACGTTTTAAAGGTATGAAAAAAAAAAAAAAAAGAAAATACCTTCATGATTTCATGATCTTGTGGAGTGCACAAGTTTTTTGAATTGTAAACATCATTATACGCGTAATTGGAATTTGTTTTATTATTTTTATTCCAAAAAAATTCTTCCTTCCGTAAATATTCTTTCACTGTAATTAATTTTTTAAAAAAAATTTCAATTTAATTTTTTTTTTTTTTAAGGGTTAAAAATAAAATCACTCATTTCACTTACTTTTAATTTTATCATTTTTTTTATGTTTATGAATTTGAGTGCAATTGAAAAAATGATTAACGTAAATATTTTTTTTTTCCAAACAGGCTCTTCTATGAAGATGACAATAATTGTTATAAATAACACCATCGCTACCGCAAATTAACTTTTTAAATCGAGGACATCTTTTTTGACAAATGCATTCGGCTTTTTCATCTTCGGTTACGATGCATTCCATACCTTTGGGACAATATTTTACAAGGCAAGGATCTGAAAACATACGGTAAGTTTTTTTTTTTTTTTATAACTTTTATTATTGAAATAAGATGAAAAAGTTTTTAATGATTTTCACGATAATTGACTTTCTTTAATTATCATAGTGATGATATTATTTTATATGATAGATATCCAAAAATAATAATTTTTTTTTTTTTTAACGCCAAAAAAAAAAAAAGAAGTTTCCATAGTAACACCCTCTTCTTTCAGTTTTATTCTAGTTTTATCGTTAAATAAGACTTTTTTTTTTTTTTTAAATAAAAAGCATTTAGATTGTGAAAGATGACTCAAAAAAAAAAAAAATTAAATTTGTTTTTTATAAAATTGATTTTTTATCGTCGAAAAAAGTTCTGCTTTGCCAAATTATTTTCTTATTGATCAAATATTAGAATAACATTGAAAAAAAATTTTTTTTTTTTTTTACTAATAAAATGCGTTTAATATCCAAATAACGCCATAAAAACCAGGGGGGCATTAATAGATTTTTAATTAAAATTTTCAATATTGAATCGATCGATGACGATGTTTTATTCTTAAAAATATTTTTTTTTTTTTAATTATGAATAATAATAATAATAAAATTTTTATTATTATTATTATTTTTGTGTTTTGACAGAGACTTACATTGTTTTACAAGAATATTTTGTTCGCGCCTTTCTTCTTTGGCGTGATGAATAATGGTTGTCGGTTGTTGTCGGTTGTATTGGTTTGATATAATTTCCGTCCACGACGCCGATGGAAATACCGTAAAATTTTTGTCATGTCTCGGCCTCTAAAAAAAATAAATAACCCCAATTATTATTTTAAAAACCTTTTTTTTTTATCATTCGATTAATTATTCTTTTATTACAAAATTCTATCGAAATAAAAATTAAAATCTGTTGGAGTAAATTCGTATTAAAATGTATATAATTCTATTGTTTTTATTAAAATACCAAATTTCTAAAAAAATAAAAACTTGTTGAAATTTTTGAATGAATTCAATTTATATTGTTGGGTAAAAAAAAAAGAAAAGAAAATTCAGTTTGATTTGATTTTTTTAATTTAAATTGATTTTTTAAAATCCTATTTTAACCTTCTAAATCTTTATCAGTACACACACAAAAAAAAAAAAAAATACAACAAAGGAAATGACTCGTGAAATATTAAATTCTGATAAACAGCAAAGGATTTATCAATCTACCATTTAACTATTTCATTTCATTCCGAACTTTAATAATGATTTGTATAAAAATATTTTGGGCTCTTTTAGCCATTTTTTTCTCTAAATTTGGTGAGTTCAAATTATTATTATTATTATTATTATCCTTTATTAATTAAATTTTTTTATATTTATTTTTTTCCATTTTGTTTCAATCAATTTTATTAATTTTTATAAATTTTTGAAATCAATTTTTTTTTAATGACTCCACGTAACTAATTAAAAATGTTTAGGTAATGGAGAAGAATTTAGAATAATTGGGGGTCGAAAAGCAACCACCCTCGAATTCCCTTATCAAGTAGAATTAGAAATGACTTATATGCACATGTGTGGAGGATCCATAATTTCCAATAATTTCATATTAACTGCGGCTCATTGTGTAAAATCAGTTGAAAACTACAAAAAGTAAGTTTTAATTTTTTTTTGTTTGTTTGTAAAAAAAAAAAAAAATATTAATCGAATGAAATAAATTAATCGATCGATTTGAAGATATCCTGCGACAGTATTTCGCCTACGTGTCGGTGCCGATTCTACAAGTAAAGGTGGTGTAATTTATAATGTTGAAAAAGTTATATGCCACGAAAAGTACAGGGAGGAAGTTCCTAAAGATGAATTCGATATTGCTCTGGTAAAAACTACCGAACCAATAAAATTTACCGATAATATTAAACCTATTGAACTAGTATCGAAAGAACCATCGGAAGGTGACATGGCATACGTTACCGGTTACGGAAGGGAACAAATAATGAGAAGCGTACGAATATCAAATATTTAAATAAACAATTACTAAAAATTTTAATTTAATACTAATCGTACAAGTTGATGATTTTTAGGGAATGCTTGCTAATCATTTAATGGCCGTGGAATTGCCCGTTGTAGGCCTTAAAAAATGTCAAAAAAAATTGAAAGGAGTTGCAAACGACATGATATGCGCAGGATTCGAAAAAGGAAATAAAGATGCTTGCGTGGGAGACAGTGGGGGTCCAATGGCAGTGAATAATAAATTGGCCGGAGTTGTAGCATGGGGTAAAGGTTGCGGTCAAGAAGGTGTTCCAGGGGTTTATACTAATGTCGCGCATTATAGAAAATGGATTGATACGCATATGAAAGAAAATTCATGAAAAATCTAAACATTTGTAAACATTATTAATAATAAAGAGAGAACTAAAAAAAAAAAAAAAATTTTCAACTTTTGGTACCTTGACAATTTTTTTTTTTAAAAATAAAATTTAAAAATTAAATGATTATTTACTAATATTATTATTATTATTAATTAAATTTAAAAAAAACTTACCTTTGTGGCTGCCAATTCTAAAAAGCAAAGAATGAAAATTCCCAACTTCAGCATGGAAAATAACATTTTTCAGGAATATTTTCTGTCGAAAAAGAAAAAAAAAAAAAATTTGAAATATAACATAAAGTAAAACACATAACAAAATTTATTTATTTATTTTAGTTTTTTAATTAAACATTTTCGTTTTGATTTTATTTTTAATAAATAAAAAGTTTTTATAATTTTAAAAACAAAATGAAAGATTAACCTTTACGAAAAAAAAAAAAAAAAAAATTTTTTTAAATTAAAATTCAACTTTTAAAAAACTTTTCTTTTTTTTTTTTTTTTACTAAATTCTTTTTCCGAAATAAATTACTAAAATTATTTTTCTTTTATTAATTAGTAAATTTTTAAATTCTTAATAAATAATTTATTTATTTAAACAAATTATTAATAATAATAAAATAATTTAGCGTATGTGTAAATTAAGATTTTTTTCTTATTTAAATTTTGCTATTTTTTTTATTTTCACTCAAATAATTCTTCTGTGTGATTGTCAATAAATTTTTTTTTTTAGCATCCATTCCAGGTTTTCTTTCTAAACCTGTCTGTCTGTCCTCAGTAAAAAAAAATTTTAGAATTTCTATTGTACTTTTTTTTTTGTAGAATTTATTAAAAATGTTCGAAGGATATTAGGAATCCTTCAGAACTTAATTCCGGTACATTTTTTCATTTTGTGTTTGTTCTCCTTCCTCCAAATACCAAAAACGTTCCTTCTTTTCAAATATTTTTTTTTTTTTTCAATTTTCCTAATAGCTTTCTCTCCTTTTTAATATTTATTGTTACGTGTGTGAAATTGACATTCTTCCACTCCGTTAATTTTATTTTCTTCAACCGATTGTTTCGCAATTTTTAAAATTCCTTCATTTGCGGTTGAATTCATTATTGCCAAAGTTCTTACAGTACAACAGGATGTTTAAATATTTTCCTATTCAAAAATGACTTTATTAAATGCTTTTCCTATGTGACGCAATTCTCCTTTGCAATTTTTTTTTTTGGTATACATTATTATTATTCGATGCAGTAAAATTTCTATTATAGATGAGATTTTTTGTTTTTTTCTTTTGTCTAGTTTATGCGACGTATCAATATATCGATCAATATATAATATATAAAATATGTAATACAAATATGACATCATAAAAAACTTTGTAATAAAAATTTTAAACAAAATCAGAAAAAATTGAAATTTGTTTTTTAAAATCACGATTTGGATTTTTGCAAAAGGATATGCATCCATGAAGTTTTTTTTTTTTTTTTATACTAAATGAATTTCAATAAAAATAATTTACAATTTAAAAAAATTTTTTTAAAATACATATTCAGTATTGAATTAAAGATGGTTTTTTTTTTTTTGTAGGATAATAATACTTAAAATTAATTTTACAACTCTGCTAAAATTAAAGAAAAAAAAAGAAAAAAAAAATTTTTTTTTTTATGTGTAACAATTTAGTTTAATATGCTGACAGTAATAAAAAAATAATAATAATAATTTTTTTTTTTAGTATTCGTTAATGACTTTATGAATTTAAAAATTTTATTAAAATTTTTTTCTAGATTTCATTATTTAAATAATTTTTTTGTTTTAATATTTTTCTAAATTTAAAAAATTTCACAAAACGTGTTTGAAATTAAAAAATTTGTCTTAAATTTTTATTATTAAAAAATTCAAATTTACTACATATTAACAGGGAAATTTCTTTTATTTTTTCTTCTTCATTTATTTTGGTTATAAAAAAAAGTTTTTCTCGGTAGATTTATCATTATCTTTTTGCGCAAGTTTTTCGCGCTTGCTCTTTTAAATTTCATTTTATTTTTCCCTTTAAATTAATAAAATAAGCTTGGAAAAAAAGAAGAAAAAAAAAATTTTTTTTTAAATATCAATTATTTGTAATTGAAAAAATATTTCCCATTATTTAATTATTATTATTATTTTATTTCCACTTGCTTTTCCACACTAAAACTTTATTACTGATTTTATTTTAGTCAAAATAATTTTTTTTAAAAATAAAATCCTATTTCGAATATATAAAAATTATATTAAACTAAATTTTCTTAAAAACAATAATTTTTTTAAAAATAAATTACGTAATAAATGATAGTAAAACGAAGAAAAATATAAATTTTATTTCCTACAAAATTTATATTTTTGTAAAATAAATTTTTAATCAATAATTCAAAAAAGAGAATTAAGTAGAACCATGTTTACTTTTAAAAAAAATGCTTTCAATCATTTATTGTATTTTAAAATATAAAATTTGATTTTTTTTTTTTTGTTCTCGTAAGTTTATGTTAGTAAAAAATTATTTATGTATAACGATAAATTATTTTTATTTATATTTTACGCAGTCGTTAAATTTAATTTTAAGCTTTTAAAATTTTTTTTAATTTTATGAGTTACTTTGAGGTTTTAAGTATTCCTAACAAGATTTGCGTTGATTATTTTTTTTTTTTACGAATAAGTTTTATTTTTAAAATATTAAATAATTGTAATTAAAAAAGAAAAGTTGAATTTTAATTTACTTAAATGAAATTTGAAAAAAAAATGTTATGAACCACATTTTTTTATGTGTTTTGCTTTTTAATTATACCTCATATGATTTTCACCAGGTAAATTGTTTATCCCAGGCAAAAAATGCCAAAAAAAACACTTGACAAACACAAACATAAAAATTCCACTGTAAAGTCGTAAAACCTTCAATAATGTATTTGTTCTGATGACAATTCATCCCCATTGCAGTCATGAGGGGCAACTAAAACATTACATACATAGGGCGGCGGAAAAAGAATGAACAGAGCATGACTGGTTCGATCACCGTTTGAATAAAAAAAAAAGCTTTTATATAAAAAAAAAAAAAAAAAAACACTTTTTGAATTTTTCTTCAGATTTACTTTTACTTTAAACGAAACGATTTTAGTCTTTTAGCAGTCTTTATTTCCCAAAAAATTTTTTTAAAAGAATGCTTAACACAAAAACCTTTATTATATAAAACTTGTATGTTTTGTGTGCTTCTATGCTTTATTATATGCAATATATAGAGTAAAACTTATACTGTTTGAAAAACATTTATATAGATAATACTATAATATATCATGTGTATAATACAATACATTATATATAATACAATTTTTTTTGAATACATAAATAAAAGCATTACTTCAAACTAATAAATTAGAGTAACATGCATATTTTTTGGTGGAAGTTTAAAAAAACCAAAGTATATGAAATTTTATGTTAAAAACAAAGATTTAAGAAAACTTTTTTTTTTTTTACTTTGCTTTACTACAAATATCAATACTATAATACTATTATAATACTATATTTTTAATAAGTTTGTAACTCTATTTTATTACTCTATAGTACTATAAAATAAACTGGTTGGAGTTAGTATATCATGTACATGTAACTGATAAATGGTCTCTTTTTACACTAACAGACTATAATTGTTATAAATTCCTTTTTTATATACATATATAAGTCAACGCAAATCACAATAAGTCTAAATCTTACAGCCAAAATTTTTATAACAAAAAAAAATTATATTACTATTCAATCATTACTATTTTGCTTATACATCATTGTTTAAAAATTTTTAAAAAACTTAAAATTGTCATTAAGTTCATCATGAATTATGTTAACATTCATCATAATATCAGTTTTTAGGCTTTCATTTGACAAGTTATTATATATTTTATACATACCTTCATAATTTTCATTATATGTAAAATGTGCATAAAACCGAAGCAAGCATATCGTTCATATTAAAACTTAGGAACAAGATATAATTTTCAAACTCTTAAAAACGCGACAAAAACTTTAAACTCAATGTATTTTAAAATAATGAGTATTATTTAAAGTAAAATTTTCTTGTTTTATCAATGAAGACTCGTTTTCTTTACAAGCATTTATCAAAAGATTTTTCTTTTCATGTAATGAAACTTATCGTTAAAAAAATTTTCTTTGGATTTTAAGAAAAAATTACAAAAAAACTTGTTTTTCAATTAATAAAAACATTTTAAGTAGTAAGTAATATTCTAATCTTTAACTTACTCATTATTTTAAAATAAATGATAGTTTTAAAACTAAAAAGAATACATTTTTTCATTTCACTTTAAAATGGCGGTTAACAATTATAATTCTTTTCTTCAAACTGAAATTTGACCATAGAGTAAAAACAAAAGTTCTACTAAAATTTAGAAGGCTTTGTTCTATATTTCAGATTAAGATGGCAGGATGTGTTGGTATTTGGCCAATCAAATTTCAATAATAGATTACATTTTTGTAATTAGTTGTCAGCTGGGCAGATAATTAATTTTGTTAAATTTACATCATCAAAACAGTCATGACATGATATATAATAATAAAACAATAATTTTCTTGTTGATTTGCTGATATGGATAACGAACAGAAATACAACGTCCGTAACCCAGGTTAAAAATCAGTTTTATATTATTGTGTTTTAATTCGTATCGTAAATATTTGTAATAATTACTAAAATTCAGTTTTAAAACTAAAAAGTATTCACGTTTTTATTTTTTTTTGTAGCTGTAAAACGTTTAATGAGAGAAGCTTGTGAATTAGGGAAAGGTACTGATGAATATTTTGCAAGACCTCTTGAAGATAATTTATTTGAATGGCATTTTACTGTTCATGGACCACCTATGTCTGAATTCGAAGGCGGAGTTTATCATGGAAGAATTTTATTACCTACAGAATATCCAATGAAGCCTCCTAATATTATTTTACTAACGGTACAAAATTATAACTATTATTATTTTCAATATTGTCATTGATAAAGTAAATAATTTAATTTAGATGTTATTAAAAAGTCAATTAATATTATTATTTCAACTTTTACAAATTTTACATTTTTATTATTAATTAAAAAAATTTTTATTTTTCAGCCAAATGGTCGTTTTGAAACACATAAAAAAATTTGCCTTAGCATAACAGGATATCATCCAGAAACGTGGCAGCCATCTTGGTCTATTAGAACTGCCTTATTAGCATTAATTGCATTTATGTCATCTCCAGGAAATGGTGCAATAGGGTCTCTTGAATACACTTCAGAAGAAAGAAAACTCCTTGCTAAAAAATCAATTAATTGGGAATGTAATAAATGTGGAAAAATTGCTAATTTATTATCAAAATTTAAATGTGAACCAATTACAAAAGAAGAAAGCAATTTAATTAATAGGATATCATTAAAAGCAGAAGATACAGCCAAAACTGAATTAGAAAAAAATTTAGAAAATAATAAAGAAGAAGACCTTTTTGAAATGACAAATAGTAAAAATTCGACTATTCCATGTGGTCAAAATTCTAATGAATCAGCGTCACAAACTGTGCCTGAAGTAGTTGCTGAATCTAATGATGATACCCTGAAGAGTTTTATGTGGCTTTTAATTGCAATTATTACTCTATTATTGGCCAGAAGGCTTTTCTTTCTTTAAGAGTATTTTCTGTAATAATTTGTTTATATTGTTAATAAATCACTTTTCAATATCAAAATTAATTTTTCCAAATAAAGACCAAAACAAAAAAACCTTTCACGATTTTAGTTATTTAAAATTAAATAAAATAATTTTTAATAATTTACTTTGTGTAAGCGGAATCACTGAAACGATTTCTGCTAAATTTACTCATTTTGCTGCTTTGTACATTTATTTGCTTCTTGATTTTAATCATTATGTCATTCATTTGAGTTCCTGTTTTCTTTAAAATATCTGACATGTATATTATTGGGTTTATTATTTTGTTGTTTTCATCTCCTGCATTACAAGTAAAAAATTTTTCATTACATGTTAAAAAACACAAATTTAAATTAATTAATTTAAAAAATAAATAGAAATGTTTGTATTTTTTATCTCACTTTCAAAAACAACGACAAAATATGTTGCATTTGGAATGAGAAATTCAGTACCATAGGTCCAAGGTTCTTTTTCATAAATAAAAATCAAATTTCCAAACTCATCACACAGATCAAATTCTACTCGATAAAAAAAAAAGTTTGTAGTTTGACTAAAATTAACATTTATCTAACAAGTAGTACAAAAAAGTTTATTAAAATTATGTAATTACGTGTGCAATTAATATTAAAACATTTTTGAATATAGTTGTAAATGATCCGCACAGGACAATCCGGATTAACCAAAACCTCCGAACATCGATGAATGACTTCGCTGAATTCTAAATAATTTTTCGTTAATTACTACAAACTAATAAAAATAATATTTAAAATGTTCAGACAAATTAAAAACTTTAATTAATATCAATTCTTTATGATCAGAAAAAAAAAAATTAAACAATTATTTGATAATAAAAAATCTCACCTCCGCTTATTACTCTTATAAACATTTTTAAAAAAATATTTCCTAATATAATAATAATAATAATAATAATAGTTTCCTAATTTAAAATTTATAAATAAAATTTATTATTATTTATTTTTGACAGAGAAGCCAACGTAATTAATTAATTTTTTGTTTTTCTTTTTTTTTTTCAGATATTGTTACAGTTTATTCTACAAGTCAACAATATTCGGCTGAAATTGGTAAGTTTTTTAATATATATTAATAAAAAAATTAAAATAAATAATTAAATATTTATTAATTAATAAATATGTGCCCATAAAAAAACCTGACAGTGTCATTATTAATAATAATAATCGTTTAGATAAACTTTTTTTTTTATAACACAAAAAAAAAAAAAATTAATAAACTCATACTTAATTTAAATTTTAAAAAATAAACTCTAACAATAGGATAAATTTTTTTTTAACTTTAATGACTAGAATTAAGAATGAATTAATCAATCAATCAATCATTCAGAAAATAATTGATTAATTTCATTTTTACATATTGAACTCTGACAAAATTCAAATACATTTTCTTTCGTGCAAGTTTTATTTAATAAAATTCTTACTTTTTCAAGTAAATTATCTTTTTGTGCTAATGTAGCTTTAAGTTTTGATATTTCATTTGTAATATCTGAATTTACCCCGCCACCGCCGCCGCCATTATACGAATCTGAAACGAAACCCAAAAAATTAAAATTTTGTTAACTTTTTAAAATTTTTTAAATATGTTTTAATTACATTTGAGAGCTTCCGCCAAACATTTTTCTTCCATTAAATTTAATTCACGTTGACAATTTTTTATTTCATTTTCAAGGGATTTATTTTTATCGACTAATATCTTATATCGATGATTTAATAATTCATGATCTTCCGCCATTTTCCGAAATTCGTTTTTAGTCTTTTCAAGTTCGTTGTAATTTTTCGTTCCGATTGTTTTTAATTTTAATTGTTTATTTTCATCCGTTAATTTTTTTATTGCTTTTACATAACAATCTATTTTTTCTCTTCCGTAACATTTAATCTTGAAAAAAAAATAAAAAATAAAAAAAAATGATAAAAGAAAAAAAAATTAAAAATAATAAAATTTAATTTTAATTTAAAATTAAAAAAAATTCAGAAATAAAAAAAAATCGCTTTTCGGTTCTTTTTTTTTTTTATCTTCATTTTCTCAAGCTTTTTTTTAATGTAAAAGCGAGAATGAGATATGGCTAACATCATCATCATAAATAATAATAATAATAATCGATATCGATTTACGGTTAAAAAACAAAAGATAATATTTTAGAAGGAAACATTTGATTTTTTTTTGGCACGACAAAATATTCCGATAATGGATCCACTCACCGCTTCAGCCGTTTCTTCAAGTTTTCTATTTTTATTTATTAAATAATTAATTTCTTCTTTTTCTTTTTCCAAATTCAATCTCAACGATAGATTTTCGCTTTCTAATTTTAAATTTAATTTTTCCAAATTCATCATTGTTATTTTAGATTTTTCAATATCTTCTAAAATTGCCGGTTGACCCTATAAAAAATCAAAGAAAATCAAAATTTAACTTAGTAATGATGATGATGATAATACAATTGATGATGATTGTACAATTACCTTGAAAGCCAATTGATAAGCAACCAATTTCCTTTCTTGTTCTTCTAATTTTTCACGTAGAGAACTCGAACCAACAATTTTTTGTTCTTCTAATTTTTTTTCCAAAAAAATTATTTTTTCTTCAAGTGCATTTTTTTCCAATTTCAAAGATTCAAATTGAATATTTATTTCTTTCGAAGTACCTTTGAAATTTTTTAACTGAGACTCTAAAATCGTTTTATCTCTTTCATATTTGTAAACAATCGTTCTCAAACTGTCATTTTTTCTAATCAACATTTCTTTTTCCGCTTCTTTTTCTTTTAATTTTTGCGACAAATTTTCAATTAAATGTTGATTTTTTTTTCTTTCGTTCCATCTCGCAACTTCTTCAACGGATTTAATTTTTTTCTCATTTGTTTCCATAAGTTCTTTTTCCCTTTCCTTTAATATTATCAATGATTCTTCTAAACTTTTAATTTTACTCATCAAGTTGTCTTCTTTTGTAGATGATTTAGAATCCGATCGAGTCGTGGACGAACCCGGGGTTTTAACTTTTTTCAAAGGTTTTAATTGAAGCAATTTAATTTGTTCCCTTAATCGAATTGTTTCATCCCTGGCACTTTTCAATTGCTTTTGTAACAAAACAATTTCGTTGGGATTATTTTTACTAGATTTGGATTTTTCCGTTTTTTCTAATGGAATGCTCCACCATTGATTTTGTACTGAATAATCATTGTTTTCTTCTGGTAATTGTATCTGAAATAATTATGAAAAAATTAAATAAAGTGTATAATAATAATTTATTAAATTATTATTATTTTTTTTTCGTGCTTACCTGAAGATTTTCATTTTCTTCATCCACAATTTGAATATGTTGTTCTGAATATTTAAGCAATTTTTCAATTTCCAATTGATGCTTTTTTACTTCTTCCTTACAATAATCGGATTCAGTTTTGCATACTTCAAATCTTAAACATAAAATTTACAAAAATTATAAATAATACAATTAAAAAAATACATAATTGTTTTTTTTTGCATGTGGTTTAATACCTTTGTCGGAAATCTTCAACTTGTAATAATCTTTCTGTTGCAATGTTCTTCCATTTTTCTACTTCTTCTTTGTAAGTAAAAGCTTGCGAATTCACGCTGGACAAATTTAATTGACATTCTTTTAATTCCTCTTCTAATTCTTGTATTTTTTTCATGTATTTTTCAACAATTTGCGAAATGTTGTCAGAAGGATAAGAATTGGTTTGAACGGCATTTTTGAGTTTATTATAAGCTCTATTTTGAACCATTAATGACTGGTTTAACGATTTTAATTCTTCCTGCAGTTTTTGGTAAGATTTTCCATACTCGTTTCGTCCTTCTTTTAATAAATTTTGTAATCGCAGAATTGTATTTTCTTTTTGTTCGATTACACTTTGCAAACTTTCAACGGTCATTTTTAATGCTTCTTTTTCAAATGTTTCAGTCTTCTTTTCATAAATTATTTTTTTCTCTGTTTGAAAATCATTTAAACTATTCAAAGTATTTCCAAAGTCATCATGAGGCTTGACAATTGAAACACCATCAGGTTCTTTTAAAGCTTCTTTTTCATCGACCTTGTTCACTGTCTCAATTTCATTTTCATTTGTTGCCTGTTTATTTTCCACAGGTGGAATTCCATTAAAATTATTATTTAAAATATTTTCTGTGCTAGTTGAAACATGGCGAAATTCTTTTAAATTTTTTTGTACTTCTTTTCCACTAAAAATTTTCAATATATCAATTTGAGCATTTTCCCAAAATAATTGTTTTTCATTCCACTCTTGCTCTCTTTCAATGTTTTGTTCTTCTAATTCAACTATCACGTCATTCAAAACGTTTATGTTATTTTTCAATTGCGAAACTTCATTGTTTAAAAATTCAATTTCTCTTTTATACCTGGCTTCTTTGAGTCGTAATTCTATACCTTTGTTGTAACAAGTCAAGATATCTTTTGATTCACCCTGAAGAACTAATTTTAAATCTCCTAAACCCTCCAACTGCGTTTCCATTTCTTTCTTTTTTAGAGAGTATTCTTTAATTGCTTTATGCAAATCATTTTTTTCTTTTATTAAATTTTTTCTTTTTTCTTTTAAATCTAACTTATAACTATGTAAATCTTTTAGACTTTTAAAAGGCACAATATATCCTTGTTTTCTCATGTCCACAAAAGTCTGATACATGTTCAGGGCGTATTCCAAAAACGTTTTTTGCTTCTTTAAATTATCAGAATTGTTTTGAGAAATTCTATTTTCTAAATTAAGGTTGTTAGCGAGCAATTTAGAAAGTTTAATTTCTAGATCTTTAATTTTGTTAATCAAACTTAACTCTGATAATTTATATTTGGAAACATCATGATGTAATTTTGAAATGATTGCTTTATCATCACTTGAAGCTTGAAGTATTAAAATTTCCTCTTTTTGTGACGCTAATAAAATTTTATCATAATCTTTCCATTCTTGAAAAGTTCTACATTGCCCTTGTGATATTTCAAATAATTCTTGTATACTTTTTTTTTCCGCTGCCAAATCATTCAATTCTTTTTCCAAGTTTCCTATTTTTTCTTCCAGAACGTTACGATCATCGACCGACACTAAATTTAAAGATTTCGCTTTTGAATCTCTTTCAAATTCTTCAAGTCTCAAATTATTATCCGTTAATATTTCTATTTTTTTTGTTAAACGTTTGTTATGATCCTCGAGTTCTTTACATTGAGTCACTAATGCATCATTCACTTTTTCTAATTGAGCACATTTTTGCTTTTCATTTAATTCTCTCATTTCAGTGGCAGCTAAAGTGTTGGCCCATTCAGATATAGTGTTATTAATATTTTCTGGATTTAATGAGCCCTCAACCAGAAATAATTTTTCTTTTAATTCAGCAAGTTCTTTCATAATCATTTCTTTTTCTTCCAACAAAAAATTTATTTCTAATTCATGATTGATGCCACAGGTAACATCCTGGTCATTCGAAGGCATACTTATTGCATTCAAATATTTATCTTTTACGTTTGCTAATTCATTGGTAACAGAGACAAATTTTTCTAAAGAAACAGATTTCAAGCGATCTTCTTCTAATTTTTTAATTTGATTCATAAGTTTAGATTTGTCACTTTGCAGTTTTAAAATATCTAACATTAATTTTTCTTCGTTTGCAAAAAACTCTTGTTTAAACTTTTCAAGTCTTTCGCTAACATCAGATTCTAAAGTCGTTAAATATTCAACTTTTCGTTTTAAAATAATATTTTCGGATTTTACCTCAGAAAATGTTGTCAAATCAAGGTTTTGTTCTTGATTTTTCAGTAGCTCCAGTTGAGTTTTTTGTTCATCTAATTTAAATAAATTTTTGTCAATTTCTGATATGTATTCTTTTTCCTTTTTTTCAAAATCAGCAACTAAAGAATTATATTTAATTTTCAGCTCAAAATAATTAGATTCTGCTTCAATTAACTTTTGTTCTTGTACAAAATCTTGTGTACTCCCATTTATTTTTTCATCTTCTTTATCAGACTTTTCAGAACTTAAATTATCGTTTTTTTCTAAATGAGGAACTGATAGGGTATTTTCTAATGCTGAAATTCTAAGGTAAGCATTTTGGAGTTCACTAGTTTTTTTCTTTTCTTCTACTTTCATTGTCCGAATTAAATTTCGTAATTCATCATTTTTTCCTTCTTCCGTATTTAATTGGGCTCTAAGACGCATGGCTGGATGATACCACCCACTAATGTGTCTGGAATCCAACGCTTCTAAAAGCCTCTCCAAACAATCCGATTGAATTTCTACATCGCCATCACTATTTCGCTCCCGAATACTATTTAATATTTCACGCATTCCTTTTCTTAATGCATCATTTTCATTTATAATCAACTCTGATTTTGCTTCCACGTTTTTATTAATTTCTATTAAGTTTTCAGTAGGTACGGGTTCTGAACATTTTTCATTTTCGACATTTTCAACTGGCTGTCGAAGTAACTTTAAGTACGTTATCATTTTACGATATTTAATTTTAAAATTGATCAAGTCTTCCTCTTTTTTTTGAAGTTTACGTTTCAAACTATTAATTAATTCTTCATCTTTTTTAAATCTTAAACTAACGCCTGATGTATCTACTTCAGTTTCAGGTGATAAACCACATTTTTCTCTTAAAATTACATTTTGCTCTTCTACTGTACTCAATTTTATTTCTAAATTATTTGTGATATCTACTAATTTTTCTAATTGCTTTTCTTTTTTTTTTATTATTTTTTCTAGCTTATTGATTTTAAGATTTGCTTCAGGCAAACCAAAGGTACCTAATTCATATTTTCTAATTTGAATTATCAAATTTGATACTTCCTCAGCTTTAGAACAAGCATCTGCTTCAGCTAAAACCAATTTCTCTTCAAGCATTTTGATTTTACTTTCATAAAAATTTGGCACACATTGACTAGTATTGTTATCAGAAGTTACAAAGGCTGACTTGGTTTTAAGTTTTTCAATAAACTCAGTTAAACTATTTATTTCAGCAGTGGCATTTTGTAACTCTTCCTGTAATTCATTAACTTGCTTTTGCTGTTGCAGTAGTCTATCAGATGAGCTATTATTTTCTGATTCTAGAACAGGAGCAGTCACAGATGGCATTGTTGAAATTAGTTTTTTATTTTCGTTTTTGAGTTTAGAAATTTCCTCATCCTTATTATCAGAAATTTCTTTCCATTCTTGTAATTTAGAATTAAACATTAGAATGTATTCATCTAACTGTGTATTATATTTTGACTTTTCTTCAACTAATTCTTCCACTCTAAATGTGAGACTACTTATTTTACTTTTTAGTTCGCTTTCTTTACTTTCATGAGCTTTATTTAACAACTTGAATTTTGACAATTCAGCTGCAATTTCACTCATGCACTGAGTAGCTTCGGAAAGTTCTGCTTTAATTTTAATTAGTTTTGTGTTTAATAAAGAATTTTCATTTTCAATTTCTTCAATATCTTCAAGCAATTGACTTATGTGTTTGTTTTTTTGCTTAATAGTTTGCATTAACTTGTCCTGCATTATTTCCTCTCCAAAATCTGAAGAACTGAGAAGGATCATTTTTTCTTTTTCTGAATTTTCATCTTGCAAAGTTTTTAATTCCCTTAATAATTCTTGCTTTTCTCTTTCAAGGGTGACTATTTGATTAGCATACATTTCATTTTCTTTTTTCTCTATCAGTGAGTATTTTTCTTTTTCTTTAAGTGAAGCTAATAAGTTTTCATTTTGAATTTGTAATTTTATAATTTCTTTTTTCAACTCTTCAGTAGAATCATTTACTGTTTTACCATCGTTTCCTTCAAATTTTTTACTGTACTCTAATTCCTCCCGCAAACGTATAATTTCTTCATTATAACGTTTTAACATATTTCCTTCTTCAGTTCCTTGCTTAATGGCCAACTCATCTAATTCAACGGTTAGGTATTCAACCTGTTCATTTTTTAACATTAAAACTTTTTGAATTATACGAATGAAGTTTGTTACAGAAGTTTTATCTAAATCGGGATCGGGCTCATATAGCACCAAACTTGGGTAAATGTCTTGTGCATCTTCCTCCGATAAAGTTTGAGGATTAATTCTATTTATCTTTTCCCAATCGATTTCATTCATTTTAAATATATATCATAAAAACTTTTAGAAAAAGGTACAAATGTAAATAAAGACACTAAAAACTGTCATTAGAAAAAATATAATTACAGTTTTTATTCAAGAAATACAATAATTAATGTACTTACTGATTTTTTAACCGGGAGACATTGTTAACGTAACACAGCTAGTGCTGACAACATAACAGGTATTTTAATTACTTAGAAATTAATTGCAGTTGTAAAAGTGAAAATTGTACGCTAGTAAAAGATATAACGTCATAGTTTTTACTCTTCGTTTAAAAAATAATATTTCCTTGGGGGAAAAAATGTTTTATAAAATTTATTTTACGGGAATTTAAGGGAAATTTGTATAATAATCTTCAAAATGGTAATAATAAAAAATTTATTTTTATTAAAAATTCATTTTATTAAATAATTTTACTTTGGCTTTATTTCAAATTCAAATGAAATTATTGGACTTTTTTAAAATATAAAATAGCTTTAAGATACAAAATTTAGTACTTAAACAATTAAGTAATTTAGTACTTACAAAATTACAAAAAATGCAGAAAATTTTTATAAAATACAATCGATGTCACCTCATATTTTATATATTTCAGATGCAATTTATGCTATTGTTTAGCAGACAGGGGAAATTAAGACTGCAAAAATGGTATGTAGCACATCCTGATAAGGTGAAAAAAAAAATTACTCGAGAATTAATTACCACCATTCTTGCAAGAAAACCAAAAATGTGCAGTTTTTTGGAATGGAAAGATATGAAAGTTGTTTACAAAAGATATGCCAGCCTGTACTTTTGTTGTGCTATTGAACAGCAAGATAATGAGCTTCTGACTCTGGAAGTTATTCATCGTTATGTAGAATTATTAGACAAATACTTTGGAAGTGTAAGTATTATTAGTAATAAATAGTTATAATCTTACTTTATGTTAATTATCTGACCAAATTTTTTTTTTTTTTTTTTTACAGGTTTGTGAATTAGATATAATTTTCAATTTTGAAAAAGCATACTTCATATTAGATGAACTGATGCTGGGAGGAGAAATCCAAGAAACATCGAAGAAAAATGTGTTAAAGGCAATTGCTGCACAGGATCTTTTACAAGAGGTGAGTTATGATAGCACACCTTTGGAACTGTAAATTTTTTAATTCGCAAGACTCACTTAATTATAATTACAGGATTATTGAACATATTAACATTATTTCTTAAATATTTATCATTGGTTTTGTTTAATTTAAAAATTATTATTACAGAACTCATATTGTTTGGGTAACAAGTCTGATTTTTAATTGATTAAACTGTTAAGTTGATGCATAAAATATTTAAGTTGTTTAACAAAACCAAATAGCCCCCTTAATACATAAAAAATTTTCAAGGCCAGAATAATTTCTATAGTAAATATAAAATTTTTTTTTTTATTTTCTGTTATGAAAAAATTTATAAAAACAACTAACTATAACACAAGGCATACTTTTATAGATTGAGTAATTGGACAGCTATGCATTTATTTTATTATTGTAATTTAGTTCCTGACTGTGATCATTTGTGCAATAATATCTAAAACTCATTATACATGTATAGATATAAATAAATTATAAAAGATTTTTATTTTTTGCAATTTGATTTTGTTTTATTTCAAATGCATTTTAAACTTTAAAAAAAAAAAATATTTAACTTGTAATTATTGATTAGTAAATATTATTATTTCATGCAATTATTTAAAAAACTTAAGTTTTTTCAGTCAGTTTAATTTCGTGTGTAGATATGGATGATTTGCGACATTAATTTATTTTTAATTCGATGAAGACTTTTAAGTTATATATGATTTTAATTTTTATTATTTGTTATTAAAATAATTTGTTGTTAACCTTTTTTCTAAATAATTTATTTGAGCAGTATTAACTCAATATTTTTTTGTTTTACTTGCATCATTAAATAAGTAGCTATAAAATTAATCAATATATAATCATATATGTGTTTAAATTTTTCAAACATTTTGTTGCCTGTTTTTCACTTGTATATTGTTAATCAATGTTGACATATTTAATTGCTTTTAAAAAAAAATTTATTCAAATGGTTCAAAGGTAATTTACATTTTATTCGATAAACAGTTTTAGTTAAATATTATAACTAAGTTAGAAAAGTATACCAAAAAAATTGACCAAAGATAAATTTATTTTTCTCGACATTGATTTCCAATAAATTTAAAAAAAAACCTTTCATGCAAAGTTTCATTTTTTAAAATAATATCTTCATACAATATCATTTCGAACATAATATATAAAAAGTTTACTCCAGTATACTTTTTATATTTTCGTTTTCCCCCCCCCCCTCCTTTATTCCTTTTGGTACTAAATGTTAGAACAAATGGAATAATTTCGACTAATGAAATGTTTAAATAATTAAAAAAATTATTTTATTGAATTACTTTGCTGTTACATACTTTTCATTAATAACTAATTTTTTTATTAAACAAATAACAAAATTATAATTGAATTCATAATTTTAATAATGGATAGTTCAGGAATTATAAATAAATTAAATATTTATAAATTATAATTTTATAATTTTAATTTTTATAAATTTTTTTTTCTTAGGGTGTCAAAAAGTATTGTATATTATTCATATGCTGTATAAAACATTTAGTTTATAAGAAAACGGTTAAAATTTATAATTTTTTGCGGGAAACAAAATTTAAAAATGAAAAATAAGTAGATTTGATGATTTTTTTTAAAAAAAGATAACTTTTTAAATCGTGAATTTTATTCTTGTTACATAAACTAATACATATTCATAAATTTCAACCTTTGCTCATTAATTTAGTTTTAAAAATTGTCATTTTTTATTTGTCATTGTACTTGATAAAAAAAATTTTTTTATTTATAAAAATAATTATTATTTGAAATTAAATAAATTAAACCAAAATAACATTTAATATATTTATCTATCTATTGTGTTATATATATTAAATTAAAAGATAAAATTAATTATTACTGAAGCTAAATGAAATAATAATGTCCTTTTTTCATCAGTTTCTCAAAGTTTTTTTTTTTTTTTTTCTCATTAAAATAAATTTTTTTTTTTTTTGTAAATTTATCTAATTTTAATTTTTTGTAAAAGGATGAAGCGGTGGAAGGGGCGCTAAGAGAAATTGGACTATTGTGAACAAATCTACCTCCTCTCCCTGGATGGACCTCCTGAAGACCTTCTTCTACTTCTAGGTTATCACCAATGGTTTACAATCCCAAATAATGAAAAAATAAAAATTTTCTTTTTTTTTTTGTTTTTAAATGAAAATGTTGAACAAAGGACTAAAAATTAATTTTATTTCTTTTGCCCGAATAAAAATATTAGCTTCAGTAAATATCTTTTATGTGAGAAAATGACAATTTGTTATTACGTAATAATAATAATAATAATAATTATTATGTTCAATAACGAACAATTTTATTTTTTAATTTTTAATGAGTACAATGAAAATTTTTGTTTTTTATAAAATTTACTGTATATAAACAATATTCAACGGACATTTTATTTTTATTAATTAAACATGTCGGTGATTATAATTAAAAATTATTTTAAAAAAAGTAAATAATAATAATAATAAAATTAATGATTATTATTATTATAATCATTTCAGCACGAATATATATATTATACGCACATATATATATATATATATAATGTGATATATTATTAATATACGTAAATTTTCTTTTTTGTTTATAAAAAAAAAAATAATTTTATTAATTTGACTTAATTTATTTTTTGCTGTTGAAGCCTGAAAATTAAAAAATTATTTAATTAATAATTATTAAATAGAGTTAAAGTACTTAAATATTTTTATGTAATAAACAAAAAAAAATAAATAATTTAATTTCGATAAAAGTTATTAAATTTATCAGACTTAAAAATTATACATTTGATTTTTATTTAAATTTTTTTTTTTTTTTTTTTTGGGTACTTATTGAAAATAAATATTTAATTGTTTTGTACATATATTTATTTATTTATTTATTTTAATTGAGAAAATTTTAATTTTTTTTTTTT